TAGGGCGCCGGGCAGGGGTTGAAGAGCGACGTCCCTGGCTCTTCCCCTTGCTGCTGGAGGGTGTGCTGGAGGGAGACCCGGCCTTTTGAAAGGCCCCCAGCGCAGCCTGCAGCTGCTGGACAACTGCTGCAACATCTGGAACAGCAGCTGCTGCAGTCCCACYTGGCGGTGTACCAGGCCGGGATCCTGCATCAGATGATGATCCAGAACCCGCATAAGCAAAGGCCGCCTTTCCCTTTCTACCACCGCGAGGGAAGGCGCCTTTCCTCCTGTCACTGGAGGGGGCTTGAACGTGGAGCTTGGCCTCCATGTCCAGTGCTGCACGTCCAAATGAGTGCCAGTCTTTGTGCCCGGCGCTATACAAAGCGACTGAGAACTTCTCAGGCGCAGCCCTGCAAAAGCTAGTCAGCAGATCATCAGCCGACATAACCAATCCAGGGGTGGAGGTGAGCTGCTCAAATTCAGCAAAAAGGGCCTGCAGACTACCGCTGTAACGCTGCTGTCCAAGGCGTACGATCTTGTCAGCAGCCTTGCGGGCACGTTCCTTGTCTGCAAACCTGTCCTCCAGGGCCTGCAAAAGTTTGTCAGCCCCCAGTGCCAATGCCCAGTCCTCCGAAATCTGGCTCTGGGCACTTGTTGAAGAGGTAGCCCATTTCTGGGCAGGCCCCTCCAGCAGCCCCACAACGGTGGCCACCTTTTGCTGCTCCGGACACTGGAACCCCTTCAGATAGGCCCGGGTTCCAGCGGTCCAGTCCCCCACATCAATCTTGGGGTCATCCCCCTTGAATTTGCTGGGGGCAGGAATCTTGGGACCTCTGTGGTCCCCAGCAACAACAGCAGCAAAGGTGGGAGGAGGTGTGGCTTTGGCCTGGGAGGAGACAGAGGGAGAAAACTTACGAGAAAAGTGAGAAGAGGAAGGAGGTGAAGAGGAAGGCTGAGAAGGCTTTGGGGTTTTAGGAGAGGGGCCCACAGGGACCAAAGGGGAGATCAGGTTGGCTGTTGTTAACTGAGCAGTCAGATTCTGGATGGCATCCAGGATCTTAGACTGCTGAGTTCCCAGATCAAACACTCTGGTCTCCAACCTCTGGATCCTTTCGTCCCAGTTTGTGAAATGGCTGGCTGTAAGCTTGTCTTGTAATAATACCAGCTCAACCAGGTCCCTGGTACACTGGGCCACTCTAGCATCCGCAAAAGTCTTCTGAGCCTGCTGCATCAGGTGCTCTTTTCTGGAAGCATCTGTTGCAGCTTCCAGCTCTGCAGCCTCTTGCCTCTCTGCTTCTGCGAGCAGCGCCTATTGCTCTCACAGTTTTTCCTGAATCTCTCTCTTGCGTCGCTCCGCAGGGGTCAGGGGAGGGGGAGGAGGAGTTGAGGCTGAAGGTTCTCCTTCAGCCTTGATCACGACCTCAACCTTCCCTGCACCTGTGTCAGCTGCGTCAGACATTTTCCCTCACAGAACAACAACAAAGCCAAAATGGAACAGCAAGGGGTGCAGCGATTTACAGCTCACTCAGACACTCCAATTTCGCTGCACTGTCAGTTCACAAAGAGATGTGGGTTCGTGGGCACAGGTGGTTAGGGTTGGAATAGGACCACTGGGGTCAGCAATCAGGGTGACAGAATGTCCAGTAAAATCATTCACTAATGATTTCCCATTCCTGACACTGAACTTTCACTGAAGTTGCAAAGTGCACTTTCACAGCATCCCAAGGGTCACTAATATTCCAGAGCCCATCAGAAAGCAAAGCACATTAGTAGTATTGATGGAAGCAGGCAAGAACTGACTGAAACACAATAACAGGTAGTAGCGATTTAGTAGACTCCACCCTGACAGCCCCAAACTCAAATTTTGCCACTGTTGACATCAACAGAAATAACCCCAGGTATGGCGAGTTTCAGGAATACACTGTTATGACTCAAATACAGTGTTTCTGGACTAGCGATTTAGCACAGCTGCTAAAAATAGAATTGCGATTCACCCCAGACTGACAGACTTGAATTCTGATGGTCAGATTTTGAGTTATGACTGACCCTAGGTAGCCTAGACTATAATTAGACTCAGCGCAAAACTCAAATCCACAGTATCACTACTTTTTCAGTACAGAATTCACAGAATGACCATACAGGATGCAGCGCAATACTGTCAGGCAGTCCCAGAACAATTTAGAGTCAGAACAGGTCAATAGATGGAGAGATAGGAGTCAGGGTAGGGAGGTAGAAGATGAATGTGGTTGTCTTGCAGTCTGACAATTTCACGATTGTTACACTACTGACAGACAGACCATCAATCCTACTTCTACTGATGCTAATCTAATCGCTACTCAGGGATTCATATGGAAAAGACTCACTTGAAGTATTTCCCTCAGTGGGTGATGAAGCTTTGGCTATGGCTGCCAAACCCTGGTCTCGCCAGTCCTTGCAGACAATCTTCCAGAGCTTCCCACGTACAGAATCTCCTGAAACTTGTTGATCATGCCCAGTATGATGTGGCGATTCACCCCCAACACTCAGATACATTGAATCTGCCCCAGTGGCGAGAGAAAACTCTCCTGAAGATATCTCGCCACTGCAGGGTATGAGCCGCTGGTGCTAAATTTAGCCCTGAGAAGGGTTAATTTAGCAGGAGGTGATCCGTGATCAATCCTCCCTCAGCGCTACACTGGGATTGAAGCCGCCACCCAGTAATCACTGGATTAGGGTATAATACGCCACCCTGATCCCAGTCATCAACTGAGGTCAGATGGGTGGATGGCGAAATACCCCTGTTCTCGCCACTTCCTGTCAGGCACTCAGACAGGCTCAGGGTGCCTGATCAATCCCCAACTGATATGCTGCGATCACCGCCTGTAGATCTTCTCTTCCACTGGATCTTTAGTGAAGACAAAGAGCCACCATGGCACTTCCCGCCAGTTAGGGCCAGAAAGAGAAGTTGCCCCTGTTGCGCTCAACCCTCTGGACTCCCAAGTCCAATCTCCACTCTGATACCAACTGTTATGAACTTGGTTGTTTGACACTTTGATTGCCACTCACACACAAAAGAACTCACACATGCCCATACATGCACAAGTCAGGGGGAGGAAGAGACAGAGTCCACYTGCACACACATCAGAGATAAGCAGCGAAAGAGCAACCATGCACAGGTGGGGAGAACACACACATACTGTTCTCTCTCTCTCATGAACTCCCAACAACCAATCACAATTGACACTGCGAAGATCACAATCGGAAAGTAACCCAGATGATGAGCCAACACAACACAATTAACCTCAATAATCGTTACARAGTTTAACCCAGTGTCTCGCCACTCAATTACCACGCACTCCACTCACTACCACACACTCAGAGTCTAGCGCTGCACTGAAACAGCCTCCCAGAGGCCAGCGCCATACACCCAGATGCAGATCATGAGCAGCGAAGTAGTCTCCAGTGTCGATGAGTCCCTCTGACAATGAAGAGGACAGCTATGGCTGTTCGACTGCTACCGCAGCAGCAGAACCCACATATCCTCAGTGAAGACCTCCGATATAGCCTGCCACCGCAGAGATCCCCCAAGGGATAGCTGCGCTGAAGACAGTCCCAGCTATGGCTGTCTCAGTAGGTCGGCTATGGCTGCTCCACTGCGCTGATGTCTCAGGTGCCGCTGTAGGCATTCAGCGCTGCTCAACTTTTGTTGGCCACCAACGCTGCACGCGAAAAATGAAAGCCAAAAATCCCCCTACCGGTTTCCCTTCCCGACTTATAGATTCCTACACTAGCCTAGACCTAGACCGGACTGACTGGACCTACCGGTACCGTTACTGTTTTGGCCTCTCGGCCTCTACCGGACCCGGCTATAGGCTATAGGACCGTATAGCAGTATAGGCCGCTTAGGGCCTGTCTGTCCTAGGGTAGCCCGGGCCTGCTATAGGCAGTTAGGGTAGCTGTAGAAATTCGACTAGTACCGGGCCTGTAATTTTCCCCGGAATTGCAGATCTGTCCCTCACGAATTTCCAAACAGACAGGTTTCTCAGTTAGCCCTCAGCCAAACAAAATTTACAAAACTCACCCTACGGTTAGTGTACAGCCTCGCAGTCAATCTCGGCAGCAGAAATCAGCAAGTCATTGCAGGCTTACCCTCCCCGGGAGCAAGGACCTCCGAGCGAGGGGTGTAGACGAGGCGAACGGCGAAGGTCACCCTTCTGAGCCGCCTCATATCGCAGTACAACAGACTTGGCTGTCTTGATCAGGTCTCCTCTATAGAACCATCGGTTTTCAGAAGGGGGCTGGAAAGCGAACCTGACAAGATACTGTCGGTCGGGGCCAGTGCCCCATTCATCCTCAATGGCCACCACATCATATCCCTTACCAGGGATTGGTGGGCCCCATTGAGGGGGCCGGTCAGGAAATGCATCAGCAAGCGTGAAAGGCAACAGCTTGGATGCATGGAAGACCGGATAGGTTCGTAGATGCAGCGGGACGTCAATGACGTACGACGGATCAAAGGGATCAGTGCCCACTGTATCTAGGACCTGCCACGGACCCAGGTAACGTGGCAACAGCTTAGGAGAGATATCCTCCTCCCTCGATAGTTCTGAACTGGCTACCCAGACATTGTCACCAGTGCGGATGGGGGACGGCCGCCTGTGGCGGTTAGCTTGCTCAATCATGGCCTTTTGGGCCTTGAACAAGTTTGCCCTGGCCCTTTCCACATCCAGACGATAGCGTCTGGCGAACTCTGCAGTGCCTGGGGTGAGGTCAGGTGTAGCCTTATCGATGATATCATCGAGAGGCTGTCGTGGCTCACGCCCCCAATGCAATCGGTAGGGACTGAACCCCGTCGAGGAATGGACAGACATGTTATACATGAGCTGTGACCTCGCTAAGTGAAGATCCCAGTCCTGTCGATCTGGGGAGATCACAGGGCGCAGTAGCTGGAACAGGACTTGGTTTCATCACTTCAGCCAATCCATTGGCTTCAGGATGACGTCCAGAGGTCATGTCCAGGCGTGAGT